TTGCAGCATGCCTGAAGCAACACTGCACCAGCAATGGACAGGAGAATGGCTCCCGGGCATGGCTTGCTCATGACTGCTTCAGTCCAGTTGATGGGCCTCAGCCTCTTTTCTTCCCCTCCCCCGCTTTGCAATGGGGCTGTAGACTCTGGGGGAGAGGGGTGTAGGCAGGCAGAGGTGTCTCCCTGCAGCAGATGTAGACACGTCTCTGTATTCATCATTTTTCATTGAAGTTTTTAGCTTTGTATTAAGCCCTTTTACATGGAAACTTTGTATTACGTCTTGGTAGAATAGTCCCTAGGACAAGTGAGGCAGAGACTGGCCCTGTGGGGCGAGTGAGGTGGGAAGGGATAAGGCAGAAGGTGACACCTCTGGGCAGTTGCAAGGGTTGGAGAGGGGATGGAAGCCAGATCCGAGATCAATGAGCCCTGGGAAGTGGGCCCATTGAAAGGAGACTGGACCTGTGGATGCCTTGGGGGTCAGCAGCAAGGGCCTGCTTTGGGAAGCCCCCTCTTTGGAGGTGAATGTGGCAGCATTGAGACACCACCCAGAAGCAGGCGCCACAGACACTAACTGCAGAGTCATGGGACGGCTCTCACAGATCTTGCACATGCATAAGATGATAGATCTGCAGGAGGGGGGGGCAGTGGTGTAGTGAGTGGGCCAGAGGGGTCAGTTGCCCCTGGGCACCATGCTAGGGAGACGCCAATTTAATCCCATTCTGCTCCCCCCATTATCCCTTCAGCTCACGTGCTCCTACTCCGCCTGCCACCGGCAGGCTGGAGCCTCCTCCCTGCCTCTCTTTTCCGAGCCCTTCCCTGCTCCATCTCCACTGGTGGGTTACTGCATGCTGGAGCCCGGCTCCAAACTGTAGGGGGTGGGGGAAGATGCAGTACAAGTTCCCCTCAGCTGTGCACCAGGTTTGGGCCATGCCACATAGTGGCCAGGGAGAAGGGAGGTGCAAATTTTTCCTTTGCCCCCGGGCACATAACACCCTCGCTATGCCTCTGCCTGGTTTATGGGATTTCAATGTGTGAATGAAGGGTGTTTTTTCTGCCTGGAGGCCTGAGGGTCTGGTAATCACATGCAAATCGCCTTTTGTCCTTCAGGCTGAGCAGTGGTTGGCAGGGAGTGGCCAGGTGACTCCCCATGCAATATGGGAATCTTTACAACCATAGGGAAGTAGGAGTGTTTTGTCTTTGGCTGGCGGACCTGAGGGAAGGACCAAAGACCCCCGGGTGAAGGGCAGCCCTGGTTTGAAGGCTTCGCTGGAAAAGACGCAGTTTTAGGGTGAATTTGCAATAAGTTTGTACGGAGACATTAGTGTTACAAGTAGCTCAGAGTTTTCTGTTATTCTGAGTTTGTAATCTACATAGCTCTGCCCGTTCTCGCTTATTACTACTTATATCCTACTGCTTATTCTTAATAGAATCACTTTTATTTACTATTAAACCCAGTGTAAATCACGAGGAGTAACAGTTAATTCGAGGGAAGGGTTTTGGATCGGACTACCGTGTCTACATGCAGCAAGTTAAATTGGGCAACCGGCATTTTAAAATGGTAACCGGCTGCAAATATGCTAATCAAGTGTGGGATAGTTAAATCCTGTACTTCATTAGCAACTTCAATATGTTTTATTTGCCTCCCTCGTCCAAACTAAGGGGCAATTGTAGACATACCCTAAGGCACTACAGAACTATTCATTGTTTTGTAAGGTTTTTTTCAAGGAGCAAGAGTCCCTCTTTATAGGGTACTGTCGATGCTGCACCTGCAATACTGCATTTCAGTACTGGCTCTGCATTTCCCAAGAGATACTGGTCAAAGATCAGAGAAGCACAAAAGTGACCCAAGGGCTGAAAGAAGTGGGAAGGAAGAAAAAAACTTCTATATATATTGCTAAACCCCCTCAGTTTAGCCATATCTAAAGATGTTACCACCAAAAAGGGAGACATTATTTTTGTGGCACAAGAGGGTGGAGCAGGAACAGCAAATGAAACTGGACCAGGTGAAAGCTTAAGTTTCACATGAAGAAAAATGTCCTAAGCGTGAGATGTGTTTGACTTGGCTGCAAACTTCTCTTCAAGGGAAGAGATGGGACCCTCCGCTTGGGGCATTTAAATTATAGAATGGACAGAATCCTCTGACTGTTGTTAGAACAACTTGGCCTTCCTGGGGGGATCGAGGGGCTGATCCAAGAGGCCTTTTCCATCTCAAATGTCTCTGATGTTGCAACGGGAGGTTAACACCCCCCGAGGCCTGTCCGAACACACCAGGACCTGCAGACCGAGGACGGGCCGTTTCCTGCCTACCTGGGAAGGTTACCAGCCTGTGGACTGAGAGAACACTCGTGCACGCCCCACCCGCTGCACTTGCAGCCCGGTTATGAGACATCTGAAGCGAATCTGGTCCAGAAAAGCTTTTGAAACATGTCACGGAAAAGCTGCCACCTCCCTGCCTCACACAGTGCCTCTGCCTGCCCCTCCAGCTAACGAAAGAGACAATGATCAGCATGTAACCCGGGCTTTCTCCCTGGGACTCCAGCATATTCACAGCCTGTTTCTTTTACACAGCACAGGAGTAGCAAACAAACTCACCCTCCCCCCTTACACACACACACACTCACACGCACGCACGCACGCACACACACGCACCTTTGTGGTTCTTTCCCAAGTCCAGACATGGTCTCTTCCTGCAAACCTCCCCCACGTCTCTGCCCTTCTGCCAAGCTCCTGCTGCTGCTGGTTCCCCAGAGAAGAGGATGTTCTCAGCTCAGTCAGAGGCAGGGTTCAGTTTCACTCTGCACATTGTGCCAGAGCAGGGGAAGGGGAAGCGAAGGGGGGAGGGGCGAGCAGCCAGCCACTCGCCGTGCAGGAGAGTTTTACACACACTGAGCTGCAGGTCCCCTGTTTCCAAGGAGAAGAAAGTTCCCGGCATTGTACACCAATGATCCCCCATCCCGTAGAGCCCTCCGCCCCAGGGTCAGTGGGTAGATACAGGGAATCATACAACCCTCCATCTTGTGTAGCCCAGCATCCCCAAACCATGGACGAGTCTCCAGGTCTTAGGGAATGTCTACACTACAAAGTTAATTCCAACTAACAGCCGTTAGTTCGAATTAACTTTGATAGGCGCTATACACGCGAACCGCTAGTTCGAATTTAATTGGAACTAGCGGAGCGCATAATTCGAACTAGGTAAACCTCATTGTACGAGGACTAATGCCTAGATCGAGTTAACTAGTTCGAATTAAGGGCTGTGTAGCTACTTAATTCGAACTAGTGGGAGGCTAGCCCTCCCCAGGTTTCCCTGGTGGCCACTCTGGACACCACCAGGGAAACTCTTCTGCCCCCCTCCCGGCCCCGGACCCCTTAAAGGGGCACGAGCTGGCTACAGTGCTTGTGCCAGGTGCAAGCCTGCCAGCACCCAGGAAACAGACCCTGCACCTGGCCCG